AACAGGACTGGCTATTGGTTCAGTAAACGTGGACTATAGTGACATCACTAATAACCCTGAACGTGGTGAGTGCTGAGCAGGTCTTTAGGGAATAATAAGGAGAAATCTTAAAATGCTCAGTTAATATTTGGTGCAGTAATCTATATCTAAAAACTGCTGTGAAAAAAGAGAGATTTCCCTTCATTTTATTTTGCTGTGTTTACCCAGGAGACACCCTGTTTTGTGACAGATCAGTTTCTTGAAACAGTTTATAATGTGATAAGTATAGCAATATGATCATAATAATTTGATAATGGTAAATATAATTTATTACAGGTGAGTATATACCCCAAAGATATGCAATCAATTTATAACAGGTGAGCAATTCAACACATCTTTTTTCCGAACACACGTGGTCTAGTAAATGGTGGCTATTTTGTCTCCCCAACGCAGACAGCGTTATTTGGTCATCGAGTGCGTAGAACTGTATTTTGGATGCTTTGCCTTGCGAACCCCGGGAAAATCATACTGTTGCCTGCTCCATTTCCAGAAAAGCCAGGAGAGAATGTTTTGGGGAAAAGTCCATCCTGAACAGGGAGAACATTTGCTCCCTACGAGCCAGGGGAAAGCTTCGTTTATATTCATATAGGAACTCCTGAAAGTTGACCAGCCTCTAAGTCTTTTTCCCTTGGAACTATTATGGGCAGCAGCTACATGTGCGGTTAGTCAAAACTTTCCCCCGGTGGTGATTCGGCTATACTCCATGGATCTGAGCACTATTTGGACAACTTTGGTTCTCAGATCCGGGCTATCCGGGGATAAAACTTGGCCATAATTAATTAGTTGATTTACCCTTCATCACGTTATGGCTTATGCTTGGGAATACAAGAGCTTTATCACACTTTCACTCTGCAGGACTAGGGAGACTCTTTAATGGATATACTCAAACAATGACAATAAACTCAGTTGACTACAGTGACCTGATGGTAGCCATAGCTCAGCCAATCTGACCATGTGTTGTGGGATGAAAAAAAAGACAATCAAACTACAGAGCCAGAATCTGTTTCTGTTCATCACATTTTAAATTGAGCACTTTTTATTCCCTAGTAGTAAACACTTCAATTCTGTGAAAACACAAGGTCAGCAGTGAACAAAATATACTGTGTTTGTTAAAACACACAGAGATCCCAGGTATTTAGATAACCCCTCTTTGCAACAATAGTGTGTGGTGTGGAAGGACTCTGAGTGCTCAACTCAATAGACATTACTAATACCTTCAGTCAACAGTACAGCCTGCCAGTGGTCTAACTGGAGAGGGGGCGGGGGGCGAGTTTAGAACCCAAATGAGCGTAATTTCAATGTTACAATGTGTCTGTCTCTGCTGGTGATTTACACCCATGCATTGCTGTTTTGGAGGGTAAAGAGGTCCTACCTCATATTAGGTATGCAAGGTCGGGGTATCTAATGAATTCATAATTCAGAAACTGGGTATATATATTACTAATCTCTGATGGTATAGTTTAATGCACATTGTCCACAATTATAGAACACCAGTGACTGCCCCATTAGGTAATGTTTGTATTTAATAGTATCCGAGATTGTCTACGCACATTGTTACACTCCAGTGGGTTGCTTTTAGCATTTCTTTACTTCTTGCTGTGTGTTAAATGAAGTGTAGGTTTTAAAAATCAGCAGACACAGTTACAGATAATTTTGTTCAATATACTTCCTACAACATGCTCTTGTGAAGACCAATCCTAAACTCCAGTAATCTGCTATTCATCCCTCGGGGTGGGAGGGGGGGGGAGGGTATGCAAAACACAAGACCACAAATCAGGTCATAGACCCTCAATTTAATTGTCTGTATAATTAAATATGGCCTTTTGCATACAACTTGCTTGTCAACCCGGTTACGTGTCAGCTCCACAGACTCATTTAGCTCAAGGTCTTTAAGTCACATTGAAAAGTTACTGTTGACATTTTGTTCAAAGCTAGAGAAAAAAAAAGGGTAATTGGTTTAATCATTTTATAGCAACTTCAATAGATTTATCGTTAATGTGGGTTGTGGGGCTGGGATTGGTAATGTTCTGAACTCTTTCATGTCACAGCATGATCTAGGTCAGGAGTTTAGGGATGTGGAGAAAACAGACCAACAAAGTGCTGATGGCAGAACATTCAAATGGGCCAAGTTGTGACAAGAAAAAAATGAACAGAATCCAAAAATGAAGAGGAACCGCAACAGGAGCGCTAGATGGAATTCCAGGTCCAATATAGCCAGTCTGTGGGCGAGATATACACAGAAATTAGCCATGCACTCACACTCCCACTACTCTTGGGTGGTAGCAATGGCCTTAAAAATAGATGAATTAATTGTTTGTTTATTCCCAGTTATTACAAACAATGTATTATTGGAATGTTGGATTACGGAAGTAAAGTGTTTTTCAATCTCTATGTACATAACAAGTTTATTAAACACATGGAGGCGTATACTATGCTTTACTATTGTAAAAATGACAGCTATAGGTCATAGTAAAGAATTAATAATATATATCATTGTGACGAAGTGCCCTTCGCCACTTGTGCCTGGAGATGACTAATTGCCAGCCTCCTGCCTTGTGATTATGGCCCCTGGAAGATTTGGCCCTTTAAAAACGTTGTTTGGGCATATGGGATTTTATTGTACCTTTTCTGCCTCTTTAAATTGTATTGGATCCAGTCTGCGGTGGTTGTGGTGTCTGGCAGCACTTCCCTGTAGGAAAGGGCCAAATTTTCCAGGGGTCAGAGTCACAAGTCAGGAGGCTATCAGGTCAGGTAGACTAACCAGGTACCTGACCTTCTGTTGGTCAGGGCCTGGGTTAGTCGGGTAACCCACCCACAATAGACAAGTACCAGAGTAGCCCACCCACAACAAATGATTACTGCACCTTGTGATTCCTTGTGGCTGGCTCTGGCTTGTGTGTCCCAGGTCGCTGTGTAAGGGGCCTACAGGGAAGCTGGATGGCCTGGAGGAGGAGGTTAGCGATGTATCCCCTCCCAGCCAAGTATCATCCAGGCCACCCCAGCAGAAGTGCTGGCATCATGGCAGAGCGCCGCTGGCCTCTGCCCCCCAAGTCTCCACCGCATTTTGCCTAGTTGCGCCAGAGGGATCAGGGGTGCTGGCCCCCCACTCAGCGACCTAGGACACACAGGCCAGAGCCAGCCACAAGGAATCACAAGGTGCAGTAATCATTTGTTGTGGGTGGGCTACTCTGGTACTTGTCTATTGTGGGTGGGTTACCCGACTAACCCAGGCCCTGACCAACAGGAGGTCAGGTACCTGGTTAGTCTACCACCCAAAAGGGGGGTAGCTTCCTTCCTTGTGACTATGGCCCCTAGAAAATTTGGCCCTTTAAAAATGTTGTTTTGGCATATTGGATTTTATTGTACTTTTTCTGCCTCTTTAAATTGTATTGGAGCCAGTCTGCGGTGGTTGTGGTGTCTGGCGGAGCACTTAGAGCCCTCGGGAAGCGCTAGGAGCATCCAGTAATGGAGGTACGAAGTCGGGGTGCCGTTACAATCATAACCCTTAGCCAACCACCTCACAATATAATCCATGACCTAAAGTCACTGTCTGTTTGCTCCCTCAGCTAAGAACATAGTATCTGGCTCTGTCTACATACTTGATTTATTGATTTAGTGCTTTATTTACCTCTCCGATTATTTTATCAGTTTGTTTTTTTCCTTCCTATTGTGGGTGTATATTGCTCTCGTTGTGCTTTTACCTTGATTTGACCACCACAGTTTCCCCCTTTCATCCTTCAGTTCAGTGGCGGCCCTGCCCATTTGTTTAAAAAGTGCCTCTCACGTTTTAATATGGGACTCAGGAGAGCGTAATTTAGGCAATATGTCCTTTTATAAAAATAAACTTGCTAACTTCCAGACCAAATCCCAAAAATACACTGCTCCTTTTTTAGCAGTAATTACCTGAATGTGTCTAAAGTAAGGCTTTACACATTAAAATAAAAACAGGCAATAAATTGGCCTAGTATATACCCTTCCCCTAAAGTCTAATCCAGAAGTACCCAAAGCGTAAATCCCCTTATGTCATAAAACTACAACTCCCATGAGGCTTTGCATGGCTTTACCTGCCTTTAGAATGACAAGGCATCATGGAAGTTGAAGTTTTTAAACATCTGAGGATTTATCTTTTGGGCACTCCTGGAAATATTAAAAAAAAACTAGACACTAACTACTAATAAAAAGATACAAACTATGGACATAAAGTGAGGTGTTACAATTCCACCCAAGAACAGTTACACGACTTGCTATACAGAATAACGTGATTAGTCAGACATAGCACTTAGTGTAATTTAATAAACACAAGATTCAATCCCAATTAAAACAGGTGTAAACATATATTGGGGAAATGAGGTAGCAGAAGTTAAAGGGAAACCATCCTGATTAGTAGCTCTATCAAATAAATAGGAAGGGAAGAAACCTACCCCAACATTAACGAGACGGGTAAAGTGCACATCAGTAGCTCTACATAAAGACTCCCAAAATAAAGGGATACTCCAGGCATTTGCACTTGTCAAATCCATGGTGCTTACTTGCTGTTCTCTTCACAATCTTTGGGAAAGACATGGAGAAGACTTCCACCAGGATTGGAATACGTCTGCAGAAGAGCCAGGACGGGTAATTACACAGGATAGCGAAGAAGAGTGCAGTGAAATACGTCAGGCTCTGAAGCAGCACCTCAACATTTAATTTCTTACCCTGATTTTATTAACGTTTTATTACAGTTTTATTGAAGTTTTAATAAAGTTTTACATTTAATCAGACACACGTAAAGTCTCTCCTGTTTTTTATTCAACAAAAAAAGTGATCTTTCAAAATATATTTATAAGTACAGAGTAAAAAATATATTTACAAATAAACCTTTTTTACAAAAACCAAAAATAAATATTTTTACCAAAAAATAAAAAAGTGTCCTGTGCTGGCTGAAAGGCACTACTGCCTGGCCGGTGACCTGGGATCAGCACTTGAACAAGCTGCCCAAGGACACCAAGGAAGGCCTGGTTGAAGGTAGCCAACTGCTCCATCTGCTGCCGGGCGATTTCTGCCTCCTGGCGCCTCGCTTCCTGGGCATCCTGACGCAGTGCCTGAAACCGCCGCTCAGAAAGGTTCTCCATCCTTTCCTGCTGCCTTTCCTCTGCTGCCTGCATATCCTCCACGACTGTGCGCAAATCCAGCTGGAACCGTCTCCTATCACCTGGAGTAAACAAAAGACCAGAATAGTGTTTTTTTTTAGCAATTGGTACAAAAAACAGGTGGATATATATATTATCTAACATAATGTTAATATAGAAAAGTTGTAACACATAAGAACAGAATAAGCACAAATTAAAATAAACTCAATAAACACAATATACATAAGATAAGATCAAAACACAATGAAATTTAAATATCAGTATTTACAGTCAATGTATAATTATGATTATGGATTTAATTATGCAAACAAGCATTTTGAGTGAGTTCACAGTTTGCTGTGAATTAAAAGTTAGGAAAATGCACAATTACAACTTTCACTCTGAACATCATGTCTTACCAGTGTGCCGGGGTGCATTGAGCATACTCTGTGGTTGGGTCTGTGGTTGGGTCGGTGTTGACGTCATCATACTGGTGCTGCTGAACGACGTTGATGGACCATCGTCAGAAACATAAGAAAAGGTTGAGGTATCATTGGAGAGTCCATCAACTGTATCTGAAAATGCACAGATCAATAGTTCAGTCCACTGTACAAATAAAATGTGTTTTTTTGTGCAAATAGTTAGTGTGCAGTGAATTTATAAATGGTTAGCAGAGCGAAAGACAATGCCAAGTAGGCTTTCTGTCCTCCAGCCGTCAGGCAGCATAACTTTTCTTAAGGTGGTCCTAACCTGAGTTACATTTTCTGATAATTCTTACTGCAAATGTAAAAGTGTTGCATAAGGTATGAGTTTTAATTATATATTTTGTGACTGGCTTACTTCTTCAAATTGCTGAATGCTAGATATTTACTGCAATTACTTTCAAATTGTAGCCCACTTACCATGGCTTCCCCTTTCTCCGCCTCAAGGAGCAGATTTCGAAGTGAAAGATGAGCTTTTTTCCATAATAATACAAGAGTGCGTATATTGGGTATACTTTTTAGGAGGTGACCCTTATATGAACTGTAACGGACCGTTTTGCACACAAGGGGTAAAAACCGTTTAGGCGATCGGCCCCCTTTCCAGAGATACAGGCACAGCTACTGCAGAACACCAAACTCCCAAACTGGATACAAAATAGCACTCCAACTCCCGAACTGGAACCTCCCAAATAGCTGCTAGCAGACGAACAGGAAAAGCAGCTTACTCTCCTGGCAATCAGTCTCTAACAGCATACAGTGAATCCCCCCAAGAACGAGACAAGGCTCTGTGTTGAGGGTCAAGCAGTGGTCTGTTTAATGAGGGCTACCTGCCCGGCTTTTATGCAGGTCTCCCACCTGGTGGACACTCCCCTAGGGGACCAAATGGGAGACTGTGACAAGGGACAGACAAGCAGACAAATAGGACACACAGTCACAGTATATTCCCACAATGCATCCTCCCCTCAGGCCCAGAGGAGGCGGGCTGAAAAGCTAGCCGGATAGGAGGCATGTGTGGGTGTGGTGAGTGTAGGTGTCACATGTGGGGGGTGTCACTTAGGATAGGGGTGGGGTGGGGTCATATAAAGGGCAGTCATTTTGTCCCTTACCTCAGCCATCTTAGAATAAACGGCTGGTAACATCTTCCCTCCTTGCTGCCTGTTACCACTGCTTGTCTCACGGCCAGGGCATGGACATTGAAGCCATCTTGTCTGCCCTCAGGGCTGAGGCCCTTCAAGATGGGGGACTTCACCTGCAGTCCCAGCTGGCGCGGCTGCAGGGTGCTGCTGGGTCGGCTGTTCCCTCTGTCTCCAGCCCCAGCGTTCAGCGCCGCCGTGCACGCCCCCCTACCCGGTATAGCCCCTCGCGGGAGGGTCGGGTGAGGGGTAGGAGCAGGAGCCCTGTGGCCGGGCCGCGCGCCAGTTCCCAGGTGGCCGCGGCCGGCGAGGCCTCCCCCACTCCTGGCACTTCCTCCCCGAGCGGGGCTCGGGGAGGCCGGCAGGTGGCCGCGCGGCGGTCTGATGCGGCCCACGCTGCCTCTCACACACCTCCCCCGCCGGTCTCGCGGGCATTGAGGAGGGCGGCGGCGAGACCGGCGTTCGGGAGGGCTCCAGCAACCAGAGCTTCCCGGCATGCGGCTCCCGTGACCCGTGGGTTGCTAACCCACTCCTCCGGTCGGGTGAGTAGGCCGCAGGTCGGCAGGGTCGTTTCCGGGGGGGCGGGGGGGGTCTGGGGGCCATGGGAAGACATCTGTGTCACTTCACCCCCACAGCAGCTCCCCTCCTGCTCTGCCCTCCTTCCCTGCCTCCCCTGGGCCTGCTCCTGGCACTTCTTATAATGCATTCCCCTCTTCCCACTGTCTCTGCCCCATCACTCCACCTGCCCCCCTTGTGTCAGGGATTCTCCCTGGTACTCCTGGTCCTGCCCTTGGCTCACTGTCTGCCCCATCTGCGGGCCCTCTCAGGGTGGGGGTCCATCATGGTTTACCTGTCCCTCCCCATCATCCTGGGCCTGATCCGGGCACCCTCCTTGACGGGTCCCATTCCACCCTTCCTGGCCCTACGTCTGTTACTTTACCATCCGCCTCTCCAGGTACTTTCACGGTGGGTGTGGGAGGGTTGGGTTCCTTTTCACCTTTACTTTCTTCACAGAGTGTCCCTGGTCGGGTGCGTTTCTCTGACGCTGGCGCTGGTGCAGTCCCTTCTGCGGTTACAGCTCCCGTGGTTCCGCCGCAACCTGTGGACCGGGTTATGGGGTCGCCGCAGCTGCCGTCACATTCCATTGCCTCTGGTGAGTACGCTGGTTTATCGGGGGATGCCTTAAGGGGTATTGGTGCAGGGGTCCTACCTCAATGGGACGCTTTAATACAAACCATGAGACAAGTTTTACAGTCTCTGGAGCAGGGTCATCGTCCTGGACTGCAGCCCCCTTTAGCCCTTGACGATCAGCTGTGGTCAGGGTGGGCGGCTGCTGGTGGTTCTGACCTTTCAGGGGTTGTAGCATTGCCCTCTGCTGCCCCCGCAGGGCCCAGTGGCCCTGTGGTGCCAGTTCCTCCAGTGGCGGAACTTGAACCATCCAAAGGATCCTCGGATGACGCCGCGGCATCTTCGGGGTCAGGGGTAGCCCCCGCTGCGCATGGGGCGGCTTACATGTGCTGGTCAGGCCCTCTAGGTCTCCATTTGACTCCGGAATTGCGCACCAAGATAGAGAAAGGGGAATTCGTTGAAATATTTTCCTTACTCCCTATGGAGGATCTGCCTCGTGTTGATCCTGCGGCAAAAGACTCCGAAAAGGAGAAGGAGAAGTTTAGGTATCGGAAGATACCAAAAACTTTTGGTAATTGGATCAGGGCTTTTTCTATCCTGGCGAGTGTGATAGGCGAGAAGTCCCCCAATAAATGCTCATCCCTCTTTTACTATCAGGATACGATATGGAACGCGTGCCGGACCTATGGCGGATTAGGCTGGTGGCGCTATGATGAGCAGTTTCGCCAGCGCATAGCGGTCCGCCCATCGTTGAGTTGGGACCAGATGGACATCGCTTGTGGTTGGCCATCATGACCCGCCCGGCATCGCATCAAGGGGGCCTCTTGTCCTTTCTCGGGGGGGCCACTGCGACCACTGCGTCGGCCAATCAGCGTTGAACGGGCTGCTGCTGGCAGTATAACGACGGGCAATGTAAATTCGGCACGGGTTGTCGTTTCAAGCACGAGTGCTCTGGGTGCGGCGGATCGCACCCTGCCTCCAAATGCTTTAAGCGGGGCAGGACTGGCGACAAGGGTGACGCCATGGGCTCTAAGGGCGAGGACGCCAGTGGACGTCGGCGCGATGCAACCGTGGTTAAAACGTTATAGAAATAAAAAGGCAGCTGCCTTACTCCTGGAAGGTTTTTCGTTTGGTTTTTGGATTCCCCATCAACATCGTCCGGCGTCAAAGGTATGCCGGAATTTGCGTTCGGTCTATGACCACCCTGGGGTGGTCAGGGACAAGTTGGCTAAAGAAGTGGCTTTGGGGCGTATGGCAGGCCCTTTTCGGGAATCTCCTCTCCCTGATCTCCGGGTGTCGCCATTAGGCGTCGTACCCAAGAGAGAACAGGGAAAATTTCGGCTCATTCATCACTTATCGCACCCCCAAGGGGGTTCTGTAAATGATGACATTGCATCAGAATTATGCCGTGTTTCTTACGCCTCATTTGATGCTGCGGTTTGTATGGTCAGGGATGCCGGATCGGGGGCACTCATGGCAAAAGCAGACATCGAGTCTGCTTTTCGTCTTTTGCCGGTTCACCCGGGGTGTCATCACCTCTTAGGTTGCTATTTTGAGGGGCATTACTATGTGGACATGTGCCTCCCGATGGGCTGTGCGATATCCTGCTTTTACTTTGAATGTTTTAGTTCCTTTCTTGAATGGGTGGTGAGAATGGAGTCTGGTCACAACTCCCTCCTTCATTACCTAGACGATTTTTTGTGTGTTGGTCCCGCGCACTCCTCAATCTGCGCACATATTTTGCAGTCATTGGCGGATGTGGCCTCTGGGTTTGGTGTGCCTCTGGCGCCCGACAAGACAGTTGGCCCTTCCACGTGCCTGTGTTTCCTGGGAATTGAGATTGATTCAGTTATCGGGGAATGTCGGCTCCCAGTGGACAAACTGGTGGACTTACGGGGGTCTGTGCGGGAAGCGGGCTCCTTGCGAAAGATCACTCTTCGACGCCTTCAATCCCTCTTAGGCAAGCTGAACTTTGCCTGTCGGATCATGCCTATGGGCAGAGTATTCAACAGGCGCCTGGCGGCTGCCACGGCTGGAATTTCGAAGCCCTTACATTTCATCCGCTTAACCAAGGCGCTCAGGGATGATCTGGTAGTCTGGGCTGTTTTCCTTGAAACTTACAATGGAAGGTCTTATTGGCAGCAGCCTGAGGTTTCAAATGCCGCGCTTCACTTGTTTACAGACGCTGCGGGTTCCTCTGGCTTTGGGGCAATCCTGGGGCCTCATTGGTGCGCAGAGCCGTGGCCTGTATCGTGGGTCGATTCAGGCCTTACCAAGAACTTGGCGTTCTTGGAGCTCTTCCCCATCTTGGTGGCTGTTCACTTATGGGGGATGGAGCTCAAAGACAGGCGCGTCGTCTTCCACTGTGATAACCTGGGTGTGGTTCAGGCCATCAATAACTTGACGGCCTCTTCCCCTCCGGTGGTTAGGCTATTGCGTCAATTGGTTTTGCGATGCTTGTCTCTGAACATAACGTGCCGTGCTGTGCATATTCCTGGGGTCATGAATACCACGGCTGACTCTCTTTCTCGCTTTCAATGGCAGGTGTTTCGGAAAGCCGCTCCGGGAGCAGACTTGGAAGGCCTCCCCTGTCCCGGAGAACTATGGTCCCTTGGCCTGAGCGGATAAGGGAATGGATACGGTCCTCGGTGTCTGAGGCGACTTGGGTCCGGTATGGTAAGGCTTGGGGGGAATGGGTTGCTCTTGAGCAGGATCATGGAGGCTACGCTTCCCCGGCGGAACGAGTTCAAGGTTTGTTACATTTGCTTTGGTTCTGGGAGGCTTGCGGGTGTTCGCCGGCTACTGTTTCTGGGAAGCTTTCCGGTCTTAGTT